TTTTTGTCTTGTTGAGCTTGCTTCCGGGTTTGCCTTTCATTTTAGTTCTCCACCTGTTCTGTATTCAAAAAGTATCTTCAAACCAAACCTGATATTACATGGCAAGATCTTTCCTTCTATTCAAAAAAAAAAAAAATTGTTCTACTTTTCTCAGTGTGGGTTTCTGAAGTAGACTCCTCTACCTCTTAGCTGTTAGTTTGCCCTTTTTATTTCTGTATCATCTTTTGTGTGTCTGTCACTCCTTTCCTGAATGAAGTCGTCATCTTTAAATTATTTTAATTTCATGTCCTATCTTTCTTAATTTCCTTCACTTGCAACCATGTTTCTGTTTTTCTGCTTTCTTGAAGGGGGTGGCAACCATGTTTTTAACTGATTCTCTAATACTGCTTTACCTTTATTCCTCCTTTAGCATCCACTCATATTTCCTGTGCCTGAATCCTCCTGTTCCTCTCTGCATTTTGTTTTCAAGGTTTTGGCTTGAGACTTTAATTTGGATGCCACAAAAAGCTAGTACTTCCTTCCCCAATTTGGTTCTCGCACAGTTCCATCTTCGGATGATTTCTTGGATATCCAGCCCACAGTCTTAGACCTGTTGATTCAGAGATCTAATTTTTATTCCTAACTCCATTTAAACTTTTTCTAGCACCTCTGACAATTTTACTTGCCTTTGTATGTTCCAGGGCCACAGCCTTTCTATCTTTGACGTTTCTTCCCACACCTTTCTATTAAATGTCTCACGAAGTGTGTGTGTGTGGTGGTCGTGGTGTGTAGTGTGTTTGTGTTTTTTTTTTTTTTCCTTAGGTAGGTCCCACTCCTCTTTGCTATCCATGTTCTTCTTTCTTATCTTTTATCTTGACTTCTTTAACCTCTGTGTCATTTTGACTTCTTTCCTTCCTTCAAGGTATCAAATTGACAGGACTAAAGTACAGTCTTTGGGCTTTAGCTTTCACGCTCTGAAGAAGGAGCTCCACCAAATTACTAACTGTTTTGTTTTTTTTAAGACACTTCAGTGTCTTAAAAGGAATATTCAGCACAATAACTGTTCCACAATTAGACCTGTTTCTCCTATTTGCTGTCCTCTGTCTTGTTTAACTGACGATATACAATATTGCACTGCAAGGTAGTGTAGATACAGTTAAGCCAGCTGGAAAGGAGACAGCTTGTGTAATTGCAGCGGTATTGAGTTAGCAAGAGCCAAATGTGTATTTGTCCTATAGGTCTAGAATTGAGCTCTGTGTTATACTATATCCACACAGCTGTAATTTAAAGCCAGATCAGATATGCCTGCCGTGCGCTACATTGTCTTCTGTGCAGATGTGCTGTTTGCCTTCCTAGTTTTAGCAGGCTTTCGAACTTAGACTATATGTTTGTATAGGCTCACTCTTGATCAGATTATCTGCCTTCTGACTAGTCGTACTGTTTATATCCTTAAATGTGTGTTGAGATTGAGAAGCACAGGATATATTACTAATTTTCCATAAAACTAAGAAGTTTGGGTTTTGGGTCTGTAGGATAGCGACCTGAACGTCAAATTCAATATGGGGGTGTGGGTGTGTGTATACACACATTTAATCACTATTTACTTGCATTAGAGTAACTCCTCTTCTAGAGGACCCATTGCCTGTTAGAGCAAAGCAAAATCTTTTAAAATATGTTTTCAGGTTTTACTTTAATTCTTTGTAGTCAGGTTGTATAGTGTCCTACCAACATTGAATTTGTTCTTCTACAACTGCCTTAATGATGCATGGTGACCTTTCACCTTTTGTCTAATAGAAATCTTTTAACATGGAAATAAAAAGCAGTTAGGTACATTTGTGTTCTTCCTGATAGTTTATCTTGTTTCTTGTTTAAATCCTAGCAATAGAAAGAGGCTTCAAACTGGACAGAAATGGCCCCCAAGATAGTGCAGAGATGTTCTGGGAGTCCCTGCTTCCTCTCCACCTTCTAGATGCTCATTCTGTGCCTTCCCTGGGGCATCTGCTGGGGGCACACCAGAGCCATGGCTAATAGAAACTTGGAAAATAAGTAATAACCTTGACACTATCCTGTTTATGCTCCTGTGATGTCTTTTCTCATCCTGTGAATAGGAAATCTGCCATTTAACAAATGGCTAGAAAGATCTTTGCTATTAATGTACACTCATTTTTTGCTCATTACACAGTTTGTATTAAAAATGTGCGATTGCTGTACGAAGCTCATGATTTGATTTTAAATATATAGCGTTGGTACTCCTCTGTGCACTTCGTTGCTTCGTTGCTTCTTTGCCTTCGCTAATGCTGGACCATTATAAAGATGATCATTACAGATGAGTATTGCGTTTTCCGGTATAAGATTTGGTTGGGAGAGGGGGCAGAAGGGAAGACGTAACTGATATGCTTGTGTTTGGCTGCTGATTGTTTAAGTCGCAGAATCATTCAGGTTGGAAGGGACCTTGGGAGAGGTCTCTAGTCCAACCTCCTGCTCAGACTGGGTCAATACTGAGTTCAGACCAGGTGGCTCAGGGCTCCTACCAGTTAGATCTTGAAAACCGCCAAAGATAGAGATTCTGCAGCCTTTCTGGGCAGCCTGTTGCAATGCGTAGCCATCCTCATAGCAAATTTTTTCCCCTGTGTTCTGTCAGAACCTGCTCTGTTTCAAGTTACAACCATTGTCTTTTGTTCTCCTGCCACTCCTGAGATATTCTTTGTTATAAAAAAGGTAAGTCAAATATTGAAATAAACAAAAAAATTAGAATATTTTATTTTCTGAAACAGTTGTTAGACAAATGTGTAAGTTCATGTAGTACTTCTGTGTCCTGCTTGATACGTACACTATAATCATTTACTACTTGAGTGTAAAATAAAATTTTGGCAGTAAAACTTGGTTTAAAAGTTCTGTGATTTTTATGCTGTGCAGATTCTCACTGGTTACCTTCTAAATCTGCTGGACGTTTCCTAGCAGAGTATAACTCTGCCCATGTTGGTGAATCAGAGGAGTCAAGATCCTGAATGTGACTTTGTTTCTGTCTGCTGGAGCTTCCCTCAAGGAAGGCCGTTTACCACCGCGGAGGGGAGGAAGCCAGCATGAGTCTGGATAATTGGTGATTGTAGGAACTGTGTTTTTTAAACTCTGAGGTCCTGGTGGAAGGCCGACTAGAGTATTTTATCAAAATTGAGATTTGAAGGGAAAAATGATTTTTTAGGGGGCAGTTTTCAGAGTAGCCGTTCATTTTGGTAAATTTTCCCAGCTGTTAACAAAGTAAAATTCAAAATTTCTGGCCATAAACTTCTTGGAAGCAAATTAAAAATATGACTAAAAGATTCAGGTCAGAATTTGACTGGAATTCAGTTTTACGAGACAATTTCCTGAACCCCAGAATAATTCCATCACCTTACAAAAATATCATTTAAAGGTTGTTAGGCTTTCTTTAGATGGGTGAGTGTTGTTTTTTTGTTTTTTTTTTCTGCTAACTGTATATTGTTTTTGTATATTGTTTTGTTTTTTGCTAGAGCTTTTACAGGGCACATGTTTCTGTAGAACTGACAGTCAGGCATCCTAGCTGTGTGGGTTTTCTGGTCGCTGGGGTCTGTTTGTCTGCCTCGTTCCCCATATGCGGCACAAGCAGCGGAGAGGACTGTGAGAGTGAGCGCGCCCTGGGCAGCGTTAGCTTCCAGCAGGCACTGGCCAGGCGTGGGGTTACATGTGCTGCTCGGTGGCGTTGCTTCCCGGCTCCAGCAATGTAGGTCAGCCTACCTCTGATTCTGCGGAGCCCTGGTGGAGATGTTCTGAGGTAGTTTGCATGGCATTTTCAGAAAATGGTTTTTTCTGTGCTCTGCGTGAGGGAGCAGTAGGCATATAATTGGGAAAGAGGAAAATTAGCAGGTGCTACGTAAACACAAATCTCTTATGTATATCAAGTCTACCATGGTGAAATTTCTACTGATTTTGATTCATTTCTGACAACTTGGTATAAGTCGTAAGTTTCAAAAATGGGAAAGAAAGGGGTTGTGGATGGTTCAGAGCTTTCATTCTTGAGGAAGACCACCTTTTAAGGTAATTTAGTTTTGAAGGATTCATTATGCATTCTTAGCAACAATCCTTTTTGTTGTCTTTGTTTCTAACACATGCAGTTATTTTAAAGTTGTAATTTCTCCTTGCTGTGACCTGACGCAGTTACTATAGTTCTTCCTGTTGTACTTTTCCTCACTGGAAAAGAGGAAACTGAATTCAGTGTTTGTTTTCAGAAGTGTAGGAAGAGCCCAGTGCAGTTGCCCTTATTTCAGCCCCTCAGAAGAAGGACTTCTTGCTTGGATGTGGTCTGAACAACTGTAATGGTTCCTCCTGCAGCTGGAGGAAAATTCCACCAGGGCAGAAGCTATGCTAGACAGACATAAGATAACTTTTTGAGGATCACCTTAAAAGTTTTAGTGGGCTTGCTGAGGGAAGAGAGTCATAAAGCATTAGTGTGGAAAGCCTGTGTAATTCTGTAGCCTGTGTGATAGGCTTTGGAAATACAGGTCTCTACAGCTATTCTAGACTGAAAACAGTTCACAGTTCAAAGGAAAGGCTTTTTGTCCTTTTTCCGTAAGCCGGGAATTCTGTAACGTGTTTGGGGGCTAACCACAGACTGATTGAAAACTACCTTGCTCACGTAGAAGAGTTTTTCTGCGTAGTTTGAATGGAACATTCAGAAATAATTAAAAATAATTTACAGAACTATGTACAGTCGTCATGTTTCCCTAATTTAGTTGTGTTTCACTCCAGAGCTTATATGGATATGTGGATGACTTAACAGCTTGGTCAACGTACAATAGCAGAAATAAGACAAGGGGAGCTCTTTTCTTGTTTATGTGTTGCTGTGTGTTTGTGTCTTATTTGTCTTGTTTTCTTAATACCATTGTATCATTTAGACAGTACAAGAGCTGTCCCAAATATAAAGGGAAAGCGTATTGGCTTTTTGCAAATAAGATTATTTGAAATGCCATTGATTGCCCACCTCCTAAAGAAATAACTGATTGGTTTTGTTGCTTGTGTTTTAGCTCTACACAGGTACACGTATGAATAGACAGTTCAATGTTAGATTTCTGTCAGGTTGACAAACATTTATTGCCTTAAAATTTTATATATAAAAATATTATTCCGTATGTGTATATATGTATTTTACGTACATAACACACTCTCGCTCGCTCGCTTTCTGTAGCAAGGCTTACAAAATACTGCATGCTTCTTTATAGGGAAGGTTTATAAGTTGATCTGCAGTCCCCCAGATGGACTTGCTGCTAGCTGTGTCTGGTTGTCATGTTACACTCTGTTATGAATGTAAACATGTTTCCTTTGTTAAACTCTTAAGGACTGATCCTATGTACATAAAATGTAAGGCTTACACCTTTAAAAATTCCTCATAGGGCAAAATGAGGCAATTATTTGGTCTTTCCAGTAACCTGTTTCCTGCGTGTGGATATTGGTGGTAACTGTGGCCGTTAGCAAGGTTGATGCTAGTTTGAGCGTCGTTAAAGAGAACCCTGCCGACGCTGGCCATTGATCTGGCAGTCAGCACGGGGGTACCAGGCTGCAGTATTTCCTTGCTCAGCTTGCTCTTTTCTCCGGGGATAACCGGTTGGAAGAAATGACCTACTTGCCTGGAGTTCTGGAAGCAGTGGGCAGTTCAATTTGAATTGTCAACTCTAGCTAGTGGCCCTGGAAATCAAATCCCAATCTGAGGAGGGCAAAAGATCATGCAATTAACCCATGTCTGTCTTTGGTATTCTCCTGCTATAATATTTGATCTTCCTGCGCGACTCAAAATTTCAAGAAGACCTCATGCAACAGCACCAGTGTCGTATTTGGAGAGCTATAAACTTTTAAAGCTCTTATGATACAAAAGGATGATGATTGTTTTGAACTGTAATACTTTTATTTCATTATTAAAAAGGCAGCATTTAAAAACATGTTTATGATAGTCTTTTCATAGAATTATATTTCATTTGAAAACGTCTCGCTTTTCCGTGAGCACTCAAGTTTGAGTCAGTGGTCTCATGTGGACAGAAAGAGGTGACATTCACGTGAAATGGAACATACTGCTTTTTATAGATGCGTCATTCTTGTCTTCCGTCTTTGCTTGAATATCCTCTTTAAGTGACATTGGTTGCTCTCAAACTTCTGCAAGCTTTTATAAGGACAACTTAAAGCATTCTAATACTGCATGCTATCAGAACGTTGTGTATGTTTTGCAATGAATGGTTTACGTTTCCTTTTTGTAAGAAATTTAAATTGAACATACTACGACTTTATTACTACAGGAGGATCCAAGTGCCATTACTGTTATCAGAATCCCTTTGTGCTGACTGGTGTACTATATGTGAATATCCTGTGTACTGAGTATAGGCCATAATCTGATGAAATAAACTTTCACGGTGTGTTACTTTACATGTTGATTTGGAACACTGGCAGAGATTTGCCTGCAGTAAATGTGCGGCTTCCAAATGTGTAACTTCTGCCAGCTCTGTGGAGCTCTTGTTGGAACTTGGCCTTTTGTGTTGCTTCTGATTTTTATCTCTGTGTAGGGCCGTGAAGCTACCACAATACAAAAAATTAATCATAATTGTGTTTACTTTCACAATAACTGAGTGTAGTATTTCATGCTTAAAATGCAGTTCCAGAACAAAGTTTCCTTTTAAACTGGAAATTCTTTAGTTCTTTCATGAATTTGAAGCATGATCAGTGTTATAACTCTTCAGAAATTCATAATTTTATCTAACAGTAATTTAAAATATAAATTCTCTTTATTCAACTGCCTAAAGTGTCTCAGCATTGAAATTGCAGTAGAATCAATTGCATTTTTCAAACCTCTCAATAATTGTCTTTATGTTCATTCTTTAAGGACCTAACTAAGTTGAAATGCAATATTTCATTCCTGACACTTAATCCATGAAAATGTCCTTGGAGATCTCTTAGTCCCTTAAAATAATTTACATGTACCCTACAATGACTGTGCTCTGCTGGAGGTATATCAGAATTATTTTTGCTCTGTTGCAGGACATAAATAGGAAAGATAGGTGCCTCGTTTGCAAATGCTTTTTAAAAATTTTTGTATTACAAAAGGGTTATAATAGTCTAGGGGGTATTTTTGTTTAAAATACGTATTTATAAAAAAATCGAATAAAGAATCAGACTAACACGATGACAACATAAGGAAACATTACATCCTTTTATCTTTGTTTATTCTCTTTGTAATATTTTGTCCAGTCTGTGAGTAAATATTAGTGGTGTTTCTGAGCCCTGTCCAGATATATTAAGGTATAGCAGACTTGTAGGTCAGTCCTTCTGTACTGTCAGTGTTATCGTTTGCATACAACGATACAGATGCTTGAACAGGTAATTCTAAGGGAGGCTGTGGTGTGACCTGACTCTATTGCAAATACTCTGGTTATGTGGCCTATAGTCACACTATTGCCTAGTGGTACTTTGTGTTGAAAGCAAGGTAACTTCTGCTTTTAGGCTAACTCAGAATATGTGCTAGTATTACTACTGAATGACTTGGTGCTATGGCCTACTTCATTGTGCTTAACTCATTTGTATGCTTTGTGTTGCCAGTCTAAACAAAAAGAGTGGGAAAATCTGGCTGAGGAGCATGTGCCCTGGAAGATCTCTGCATGGTACCAAAAGTAGCAGTTGAGAAGCATATTCAATGTAAATGTATCATTATGGTGATCCGTTATCTGCATTCCACCTCAT